GAGAGAGAGAGAGAGAAAGAGAGAGAGAGAGAGAGAAAGAAAGAGAAAGAGGAAAAGAAAGAAAAAAAAAATATATATATATAAAGATAAAATAAATTAAAAAATAAAATGGGATAAATTCAACTTTTTCATAGCAGTGCTATTCAGGGCTTACAACTTGTTTCTATATAAGTTGAAATAACTATTCAGAAAACTTGGAAGCTTTTTTTCTGTTAACAATAAACATTACTTTTCAGCAAAATATGACACCTGTCACACAGCAGACACTTAGAATAAGCTATAAGTAAGATCAATGTAACAAAGGAAGAATTTAAACACATCACATTTCAAGACATAAAAAAAAGAAAGATGGCACAAATATGAAAAGAACTAAATTTTAAAGAACTAAAATATTGCTTCTCAGGTATCACACAGAAATTTCACCTTTATCATTTCCTCTTTCCACATAAGAGGAAAATATCTCCTCTTAAAGAGGGATGATCAAGGTATAATACCTGAAAATGAGGTCATATTTTCTCATTATTTTACATTCTGAGAGATAACTGCAATCTTGGCAGTCAAGACACTACCACTTAATGAGAAATGATATTTGAAAATATGTATACTTCTTCCTGAAACAAAGTAAATTATTCCTTTAATATTAAGCTTAACAATGAAATAAATAAGGCACTTTTGCCTCTTTAAAAGGCCTCTTTATTCTTTCATTGTAGAGAATAAAAAATAGCACACTTCACTCTATGGACTTAATAACTGTTAGACATGATGATTGTTAGTAACATATAATAAGCCTGGCTAAAGAAGAATACGTGGCCAGTTAGTTCTTCTTGCATTTTTACGGTTCAAACCTGTTTTAGATTTATTGCAGAATCTATCCTTTTCATAAGCTGTGTGACTGGCAATTTTCCATGTAGTTTTTTCTTCTTAATTGCTTTGCTCAAAAAGAGCCAGCTGCGTGTCAGCAAGGTCTCTCTATTACCCTCAGCAATAAATTAAGCTTTAACATTATTCAAATATTCTTTTTACTCTTCTATATCTCTAAGCCACCATTCAGTAAACTAACAAAAAAAAAATTCTCTTTTCTTCCTAGGTCTTCTAAGAGTCTTTTTGAGGAGAGCAGCTGAAAATTATTATGGGTTTTTGTTAATTTCTTTTGAAAAAGAGTGAATTTACATAATGTAGTTTTATAGATTGTCAGAATACCCATGAGGTGTCAATATACATAAGGTATATTTTGATACTTAAAAAAAATAACACTGAGGGGCGCCTGGGTGGCGCAGTCGGTTAAGCGTCCGACTTCAGCCAGGTCATGATCTCGCGGTCCGTGAGTTCGAGCCCCGCGTCAGGCTCTGGGCTGATGGCTCAGAGCCTGGAGCCTGTTTCCGATTCTGTGTCTCCCTCTCTCTATGCCCCTCCCCCGTTCATGCTCTCTCTCTGTCCCAAAAATAAATAAACGTTGAAAAAAAAAAAAAAAAAATTTAAAAAAAAAAAAAAAAAAAAAAAAAA